GACTTTGAGAAGCTGAGGTGGGAGGGTCACTTAAGCCCAGGAGTTTGAGACCAGCCTTGGCAGGTGAGATCCCACCTCTACAAAAAATTTAAAAAGAATTGGATAGGCGTGGTGACACATGCCTGTGGTTCCAGCTACTCAGGAGGCTGAGATGGGAGGACTGCTTGAGCCTGGGAGGCTGAGGCTGCAGTGAGCTATGATCATACCACTGTACTTCAGCCTGGGTGACAGAGTAAGACCCTGTCTCAAAAAAAAAAAAAAAAAAAAAAGCCACAAAGATTTATGGTGAGAGAATCAACATTTGTAGATGATTATATCATGTTTAAACCATTTTGGATTTTTTAAATAGAATCTTACCCTTTTTTAATTTAACAGGAAAAATATAAGTAAAAGAATGAATATTTTGCATTAAAAAGGAAGAAAGAAAGTTATTTTCTTTTTAGAACTCACTATCTAAAATCCATTCTCATAAAGATTTGGTTGAATAAGCATATTCTGAATTCTAGAGGGAAGTTGCTGCAGCCAGTAGAATAGACTCCATACACATATAAAGCATTTTTTTTCTTTCTTTTTGAGATGGAGTCTTGCACTGTCGCTCGCTGCAACCTCCAACTCCCTGGTGCAAGCGATTCTCCTGCCTCAGCCTCCCGAGTAGCTGACATTACAGGCACGTGCCACCACACCCAGCCAATTTTTGTATTATTAGTAGAAACGGGGTTTCATCATGTTGGCCAGGATGGTCTTGATTTCCTGACCTCATGATCCACCTACCTCAGCCTCCCAAAGTATTGGGATTACAGGCATGAGCCACCATGCCCTGCCTAACGGTTTTTTTTCTAAACAGTTATATGATAATATTGACTGCCATTTTACTGAGTATCAATTGTGCTCTACTCTTGTGAATGTTTTATATGTATGCTTGGTAATCCTGGTGTTAACACTGTTAAGAGGGTAGAATTTCATTGGAGAGTTCACATTTAAGACTGAATATGGTGACTCACACCTGTAATCCCAACACTTTCGGAGGCTGAGGCGGGCAGATCACTTGAGGCCAGGAGTTGGAGACCAGGCTGGTCAACATGGCAAAACCCCGTCTCTGCAAAAAATACAAAAACCAGGCGTGGTGGTGTGCCCCTGTAGTCCCAAGCTACTCGGGAAGCTGAGGTGGGAGGATCACTCGAGCCTGGGAGGTGGAGTTTGCAGTGAGCCGAGATTGGGCCAGGGCATTCCAGCCTGGACGACAGAGCGAGACCCTGTCTCAAAAAAAAAGAAAAAAAAAAAGAAAAAGAGATTCACATTTAGGTCTGTCTGATTGTAACCTATGGTTTTTTCACTGGGTCCAGTTATCGCCCTCTTTGTGTGTTGGATCTTTTTCTCACCTGCATACTAACTGAAAGGTGTGTGGTTTGGAGGGAACCACATGTTCCCTCCAGCATGACAGGAGAACCATGCTGTCTCCTGAAAGTGATTGTCAAGTCAGAAGGTAGCTATGCTAATGAAATAGGAAATAATGAAATAAGATTAATTTCTTTTATTTTTAAAACAGGTCGAATTTGCTTTGCAACAGTGTTTTATTACCTTATTTAAGTTGAAATGTAACATTTTGTTGTGAATCTCTAGAACATTCTGAAAATTTTTACTTTTAGTAGTATTAGTTACCATTATTCAGTGCTTCCTATAGACTTTCAATGTGCTCTCTATCATATGGTAGTTACTAGCCATATTTAATTTTAAATAAAATTTAAAATTCAGTTTTTTAGTTGCACTAGCCACGTATCAGTTGCTTATATGGGTAGTGGCTCCTATTGAGCAGCTGGAAATACAGAACATTTTCATCATCTCAGAAAGTTCTGTTGAACAGTGCTACACACTTCACATGTTGTTTCTCATTCATAACTCTTCAAGGCCTCTTTTCTTATTTTTTATTATAAAACACTAGAAAACTAGGCTTGCAAGATAAATTGCCTAGTGTACATTTCTGAAGAGATAAAGAAAAGTGACATAGTCTCTGACTTCAGGTTTTACTCTGCAATGGGAATGTAGACAAGAAACAGGATACTATATGATAAAATAAGACACAAGGGTTTTTTTTTGCTTTTATTATTATTTTTAATGGATACATAGTAATTGTACATATTTACTGGGTGTACAGTGTACTATTTTGATACACGTATGCAATGTGTCTTGGTCAAGTCATGGTAATTAGCACATCCATCACCTCAAACATTTATCATTTCTTTGTGTTGGGAACATTTAAACCCTGCTCTTAGAGCTATTTAAAAATATAAGTTGCTGTTAATTATAGTTATCCTATAGTGCTATAGAACACTGGAACTTACTCTTCCTCTCTAGTTGTACTTATATATCCATTAACCAACTTTTGGCTACTCTCCCTTCTCCCCTCCCCTTCCTTGGCTCCCCTTCTTCTCCTCTAGTAGCCACTATTTTTCTCTATACTTCTATGAGCTCTACTTTTTTAGCTTCCACATGTAAGTGAGAACCTGCAGTGTTTATCTTTCTCTGCCTGGCTTATTTCATTTAACATAATGTCCTCCAAGTTGATTTGTGTTGCCACAAATGATAGAATTTCATGGTTTTTTTATGGCTAAATAGTATTATGTGGTTGTGTGTGTGTGTGTGTGTGTGTATAAATATATAGACACAGCACATTTTCTTTCTTTATTCTTCTGTTGATAGGCATTAGGTTGAATCCATATCTGTGAATAGTGCCATAATGAACATGGGAGTACATATATGATTTTCTTTCCTTTGGATACATACCCAGTAGTGGGATTACTGGATCATATCATAGTCTATTTTTAGTTTTTTGAAGAGCCTCCAT